CGTGACGAAAGGATGAACCGAAAAGAGGTTCCTTTCCTGAAATTGCAAGGAAACAGAGCAACTGTGGAGTCGGATATCTTCGCACCGATGTCTCACGGGACCGAGGAATTTATAAAGGGCCATAAAGAGGGGGGAAGAAAAGACGGTGGGGTTCTCTTTTTACGTGAATACAAGACACTGAATGCAAGACACTGAATATAAGACACCTGTTGGGAAGGGGAGGAAAAGGAGGGTTGACAGTGAGACAGACGAATGTGTCTGAGAGGGAAGAAAAAAGGGAAAAGGCAATACAAATGCGTCTGGTAAGTTTTGCCCCCCCGGGGGGGCGATTTGGAGTGACCAGTAGCCCACCCTCCCTGACCCCTCATCAATGACCATTCTTCATAGGACGATGACCCCTTTTACTCCTTTTTTTGGCACATTATGCAACAGAATCGTGTCTGCGAGATCCTTCCTTGATTGCAGCGTCGTACGTGGGAGAAAGTGAGTGTCGAGAAAATCTGCGGAAAGACCAGGAAGGAATTTCGCTTCCTGTGGTCCCAGTCGCCATCTTCCATGAGTAACTCTTTTCATGAGAAACTTTTTATATGACTAACTTTTTCCATGAATAAATCATAATTGCCATTTTACTCGTCAGTTCATTATTGGGTTTCCTCCTCCTACTTCATTAAATTCTTCCGGCCTCCTTTCTTGGCAAACCAATTTCAATTTCGTTGGTTTCACTGATATTGTGCAAGCCATTAATTATTTTTAAGCCAAAATTTCATAGATTTTTCAGAGCATCCCCATCTCTAGTCTCTCCAGGATGCCTGCCACAGACCCCACACGTTCCCATGCGATACCTTCTTGCATTTAAATGCAGGCCGTGGTCGATTATCTTCGGATCGGCTTTAAATCACGAGCTAGTAATTCCGTGTTTTGATTATTCAAACCGGGGCCATCCATCCTTGAGGAAAATTGAAGAGCCCAAATTTGGGGACCCCCATTGTGTATACGGTACGCCTGATTTATGCCCCCCGATATGCATGCATACGTGGAACGCAGTGTATTACAAGCCAGCAAGCGTGCCGAGCCTTAATATAAAAAAACCTTATACTTTCCTAAGCTATTTTTCATATCAGCCTACAATGGACCGAACAGGAGAAAAGAAAAAAAAAAGGGCAATGCAGTTAAGGCCATAATCAATGGTTGGTGTCCACCATACATCATTTCACATGGAAACCCAACCCCTTCCCTTCCTTCTCCACGGCAACCTTGCATGACAGCCCCATTTTCTCAAAATGAAAATGACCACAACGTTCTTCCATTTTGCAGCAGCGAAAAGGCCTTTTTACGAGATGACCCGAGAGAATTTTCATTTCGCTCTTTATTTTCAGCAGAATTGACCCTTCGCATACCAAGGGAAATTTCCCGGGGATTTTATAGACCGAGTCCCATTCCGAGGAAACGCCGGAGAGAAAGGGGAATTTTTTTTTTGCGTTTTTATCCCCCTGCCCATAAACAGACAAGGTATATTCACGGAATACCAAGCAAGGTATTACGGCTGACACGGAGGGGATCTGCATTTCAATCGCGTACTCTCCCCGCCTTTTCTTTCCTCCCTTTTTCTTCTTTTTTCATTTTTTTTTTTTAACCCTACCACACCGCCATCTTCTTAACCCTTTCTTCCCGAAGAGAAATGCACGTCGGGCCCTCAAGGACACACGGACATAGACGCATCTCCTGATAAATAATCCTTCACTCTTTCACCTGATAAAGACCTGGCCTACACGTCTTCCCAGACAGGAGAAAGAGGAAAAAAAATCATTTCCATTCAGGCCACCCTTTTAGATGCAATTCAGATATATCCCTTCTCTTCCATGACGTCATCTCGCCAAGAGAAATTCCTTCTCGTGTCAGAATAAAAAAAAATCTTGGGGTACTTTGAAGAGCGGATCTGATAATAATAAATGGGAAAGAATTTTCAGGAACAAAGACGCGCGATTATCTGATTCGTCAAGGAAAATCTGATTCCTTCAACCCCCTTCATATTGTCGATTTTTAGTGAGACATTTCAAATTTCGTCTCCAGCACACGATGTTCTGGCTCACACTTTTCCATGCGTCTCCTGAAACGACCGACCATGTCTGGAATGGCCAATCCATCGAACAACCATTCGAGCCATGGCCAATCCGTCGAGCAACCATTCGAGCCATGGCCAATCCGTCGAGCAACCATTCGAGAAATGGCCGAGGTAGGAGAGATTGCTTCATCTCGACGGTTCGTGGCCGCCTGGAAGCTGACCGCAGTGGATCTACGACATTCCGGTTTGTTGGCTCAATATTTTTGGAGTGTGCATGTAGGCATAATGAGGGGGCATGATCTCGCCACCTCATTAAGGGGGTTTTGATATTCCTTTTCTCACTTCTTGGACATTCAGCCTCACGTCTCCCGGATCCGGTTCCATGGATTAAAAAAAAAAAGTTACAACCACATTCCTCTCCACTTCCATTTCCCACGGCATCCCAGACTATTCGATCCAATCCATTCCCATCCTGGTCCTGATAGGAAAAATGCTCAGAAAAAGACATTCCACATTGCAGAAATTCATCTGAAATGCCTGAGAAGTTCTTGGAATTCTACGGTTACTCGGTAATAACCTTGTCATGTCTGAGAGCTTTTTCGAGAGTTCTCGAAATTTTTAATATATAATATTAAAAAAAAAACATTGGAGAAAGCGTGTTCGGCCTTGAAGCACTGAAAAAAAAAGGCGGGAGATGACACGAAGTTGATAAAAAAAATGAAAAAAAATTGTTGGAAGGTCCGTGGGAGCGGAGAATCAGAGGGTCGGTCGTGAGAAACTGATTTTTCATTAGGGAAAGTCGACCTGATTTCCCGGCGTGATAAAACTTCGAGGGGAGGAAGTGAAGGAATCCAGGAAGGGGGACAAAACAAAGAAAATGAAAAGAGGGGGAAAGGGTTTAGAATGAGATGCATACAAAAATGAAAAAAAAATGAGAGGGGAGATCCAAGGCAATCCAGATTGAACAGAAAAAGAGTTTGATTTCCCACTAGATAAGACGGCCCTGCGACGGTGCGAAAAAAAAACTTTCCATGTCGGCATAAAGGGGGATATTATATTGGGAATCTTATCAAAAAATGGGAAAACTAAAAAAAAAGTCATTACTAGACTGGAGCGGTTTCGTGGAATCAGGAACGGGAAAAAAAGAGAGAGAGGTTTCGAAAGAGGCGGAAATTAATGGGGTCAGAGCGAGATATGCATCGCGGGCCCTTATGGAAAACAATGCAATGCGTGGGAGAACGTATACCCTGAATGCACATATAATGTATATAGCCTTCATATCAGTCAGGAAAAGAAATGCCTGAATTATGAAAGGCCGACATGGATGAGTAGGGGAAATATTGTGCTTCCTACGTACTCGAAGGCTAAACCGTTTTACGTAGGGGTTCGGATATGTTATTATAATAGCATTTCTGACGTGATTTTGGGATTATTCGTCAAGGAAGCAACATCAAGAAGGAATTTAGCAACTCTAATTAAATTTAGAAGAGAAACTCGGAGCGGCGTGCATCAAGACCGACTTCAGCTTCGAGGTCGCTGGAAGACTCTTTACACCGCAAATTCGCCAAACGCGGAGAAGTGAGACGGTCCTCCTGCCAAATTGCCAATTAGTCGAATCTCCGCCAACGCCCACGCCAGTTGGCCTCTGCGCCAATGCCGAGCCGTCATCGGGACCCGATTCCGACTCGGCCAGTTCGAGCATTCCTGCACGCGGAGGGCATAGGGGATAATGAGCGATGAGTGCCGGGCCCATGGTTTAAGTGGTGTTTAGTGGTCGTCCTTAGCGAGGATGGGCGCCCGTCGCTCCGTTAAGTGTCACCTTCAAACTTTAATCGATCTCGTCATGCATTATTATGAATTCTTGCGCCATTGTTTCATCAATATTGGTCAACTCCTTATTGGTTTTGCTCTGTTGCGACTATCCTGCTCCACTTTTCTCGCCGCAAATTATTAGCTGAACTGCTTCACGGTGTTTTATCTTATTTGTTGACCACGAGTACATTTCTAAATAAGAGGTAGAAAAAAGCGAATAAGTGCACTACGTACGTCACAAGCGAGTACTCAAATATAATTTTCTAAATTGCCATTAAAAAATTGTTTTGTCCCCTTCCTGTCCCCTTCGCTGCGACTTCCACAACATCGCTTCGAGTACACATACTGAGTACACACACTGAGTACATATCCCGAGTACAGTAAAACTACATTATAAATCCCCCCCCCTCCCTCCACCCGTTTCCTAACATGGTGGAAGGGGATGGAGCACGTAACGGGGCATTGAGGTGAATGCAGCTGTCAAAAGATGTCATACGATCTCCCCCTGTGTAGAAAACCAGTGAACCATTCAGTACTTCTTTTTCATTCAAGGGTCAGTCGCCTCATTGGACTTGAAAAAAAAAAGTTCATCTTATCTCGGTTGGAGAGTAGAAAACCCGCCTCTCTTATTTATTTCTTTTCCTTTTTTTTCCATGCCCATGCATGGTAGCGCCTGGAGGATGGCTTTTGTTGCATTGAGCATTAGCATACTCCCATTTCCATGCTGGATTTTGGAGCGGGAGGAGGTCCCGGGGAAAACGGTTTTTCTCAAATAAGCCTGCTCTTTCCTCTTTATTTCAATGCCTCATTTTCATACTGTATGCAAATGCGCCACAGGGTTTCGACTCACCGAGGACACTTCCCACCGTATTTTTTTTCCTTACCTTTTTTGTTTTTGCTTTCGCACCGTCGACTTTCCTTCCCGAAAAGGGGGGGATATTTACGGCGGGAGATAATAATTCTCACGTGTGTGGACAGGTTTTACGAGCCAGGAAACCCCCTCGCACTAATGGCGTTAAATCCCCTTATTACCGGGAGAGATTGAGAGAGCTACCTTTTCACCTCACGGGTGTCACCCATGGCCCAAAGAAAGAAAGAAAAAAAAAATGCGACAAAGTCGTCTTACCGGCAAGTTTTCGCTGAATCCGAGAATTCTCAGCTATTGTCCTCCTGCGAACATAAAATAAAAAAATTTGACATTTTGATAAATATTAAATTTTAAATGGTTGCACAGAAATTACTTTAAGTAATTCTGTTGAAGGTCGTCGAAAAACTAACGTAAGAAAAGGTGAATTGCTGAAAGTGACACAAATTGACTTCATGGAACAAGTTAAATACAGAATATCAACAAATTTACTTAATGTAACATTAAATTTGCAGAATGAACCATGTCAATGTGCAGATCAGGATCTGGTAATCGGGGATGTGATCTGCGACAGATGGCGTCACGTGGGTAGAAATTTATATGAGGAAGGCATGAAAAAACCATATAAAAAAAAATTGAAGGATTCTGTTGGAATGTCAGCATGGGGAACATGATCATAAATCAGGTGAGGATGGAGATGAGGAAAAAGGAAAGTTGAACGCCCTCTCTCTCTTGTATGATTTTTTTTTTATTCCAGTACCATATAGTTTATGGTACGTATACGGATTCCCCCGAGTCGTTATCGATGCATTGCAGGATTCGCGAAATCAAGAACCTGTTTGAAAAGTGTGGGGGAAGAGCCTCTCCTTGTTCCGAGAGACTAGATATGCCGGTCTCTGGAGTATTTTTATAAGACTCATAAAAATGGGGAACATATCGGAGTTCATCTCCAGGTTTTTTTTTTCTTTGCCCCCCTTCCCTTCCAAACAAGACCAGACTCCTCTCGACGATATCTGCTTCCACTCAACTGACTGGTTATTACATATACTGTAGACAGGACAACTTTTGTTATCCACTTGGTAGGCCATGGCCTGACGGAACCTCGCTCTCAATGTATGAGAAATTACTTTCTCGATCATTCTAGAAGAGGTTTCAATCGGGTTTGAAGAGAATACGAAATTGCCTGGTTTCAGAGAAAAAATGTTCCATAGCGATTTGTTTTTGACTTAGAGTTCATCCTAAATCTGGGAAGATCAGTATGTCATCATTGAGTAGATCATCATTTTGGGAATTCGTGATTGAAACGTTTGAAGCAAGAGAAAACCGGAGGGAAACTGAACTGACATCTTCGATTCCTGGATTTGCCGATACATATGTGTACATGACAAAAAGATGCATACGGAGTCATGTCCTCATCACGTGTTAGCATAGTCAGCACTTCTTTTTATTTTCTTTTTATGCATCCTGGGAGCTTCCCGGAAAAAAAGAAGTCTCATGAAGGCCGTGTTACGATGACGCCGTGATGTCATGTGAAAATATCCCAGATGTATATGGAAATGCCAGACCCAGCCCCTTCTGTTCCTCGTCTCCAAGAAAAAAAGAGAATTCATTATTTATAATGTCTCCGTGACAGAGTCCATTCCACAGATTTCACGAGAATTTCCTTGGAACGGAGGAGCTGAGTCATGGAGAAAATTGCTCAACGCGGTCCCTCCATCGACATTACACACATGTTCAATCAAGACGACAAGAAATACATGAGAATGTTGGAATTGAAATTCAAATATAAAAAATATTGAAATGTGTAGTGCAGACAGTAAAAAAAAGGAAGTTGGAAAATTGCAGGAGTAAAAATTGTGAGAAAATTTTCAGCAACCTGCGGGGCGCTGGCGAGGTCAGGACTCGGTGGGGAAAATGAGCGCTTCGGGGCTTGGAGTGTGACCGCAGAAATCCGTGACGAGAGTGTGTATGTGCGTGTCGATCTATAAACATATGCAAAATCTATGTGTCTGGGTGGGAAGGAACAGAATCCAGAAGCGGAAGTCCTGGAGAAGGAAGCTCCGCATCGTCTTACGAGAAAGCTGCGAGAAATCCCCTCTCGCTCTTTCTCCTCTTGTCTCTTGTGCTTCGCGCATATGCATATACACATACTCAGATCGGGGATAAATCTCGTGTCTGCATTTGGAAGGGTCTGGGACTCGTTCCCGCAGAGAGAGCCTGGGACGTGTAAACGTGATGGCTTATAAATATACACACAATCTCATTTATGAAGTTCTCATTCCCACGCATTCGAGGCTTCTTCTTTCCTTTCTGTTTTTTTTTTCCCCCGTTTTTTTTTCGGTTCCCACATCCTCCCCTTTGACATCTTCGTGATCTTTCTAGTCGCTCGGCCTTGGGAAAGGGAACAGTTGGCTTCCAGCTCCTTAGAAACAAAATGCAACTGTGATTTCTTTGGAATCCCATTCGAATGAGATCCTTCGCTTCCATCATGGGTCGGTGGAACAAGCAGAGAGATTCATCATGAAAGTGATAGGCCACAGAAAGAGTACAATAAAAAAATATCGATATTACTACTTTTTACGCATTCCCATGAAAAGGATCCTTCTAGTCTTTCGTAGGTCTTTCTAAGGAACTTATTTGATTACCTCTTCTGATATGCCTTGGGTAGTAAATGGGTACAAGTGAATACAGTCCCCTTCCGCCTTGGATGTATGTTCTTAGATATTCCTCACTTCGGATCTGTTCTCACATTTATGGAGAGTTTCATGTAAGCAGAAATGTAAAGGGAGCGATGTAACACCAGCGATCTATTTTACCAGGCTGATGAGACAAAGCTGAATTCGTGTAATGATCAAGAAAATCGATCATCAAGTAGCTTGAACACTCTAAACACAGCAACAGATACGACATTTGACAGTCGCTCGAGATGAACTCTAAGGTTCCTTTGAATAATCACAGTTTAAGTCCTTGGAGTCGGCAGACAAATATGGACCTAACCCGCAGAACCTCTGATGGTTCTGGGATTCCAGGCCAAGGCTTGAGTAACGAGCTTCGACGTCGAGGAGTTTTTTCAGTCGAATTCGTAGTGGCGCGCATGACTGAGATGTGCGCACTCTCAGCTGACAGCAGTTTTCAGCTCGAGTGTGGAGGAAATTAAAAAAGTCCTATTTTTTTTACATTTTTGCTCTCATACAGAGGCCTAGCAAAACAAGGAACAGAAAGCCTAAAAATATATATATAATAGCAAAAAATAAAAAGAAGTACTTTGAAGAAAAAATAAGCCTGCTTTTGTGATTCAAAGCAGGGGATGCAAAGTCTCACAGTAAACGGAATATGCATATATAAGCATAAAGTGTAGGCTTTCCATATTGTGACGGATGAGGATGGCATCGACAAAACCCAATGTTTGTCCCGAGCTCGGTGGTGTAATGGTAGCTCACCTGCACAGCAGTCAAAAGGCCCGGGTTCAAAACCCGGCCGTTTCCCTGGACTTTTTTCGGCCTCTCATGCCTTCCGTCGTCCTGTTCTTCTAGCCCCCCCCAGTAATATTATTATATTCTTGCCTAAAGGACATCAGTTGCAAACCAACTATTTGATACGGTAAGGGGAATCCATTTCACTTTTGGAGCATTCCAGTACTTCAGTGGGAATGGAGGCTTAAAAGGAAAAAGGGGGGAAAAAGTGAAGAGAGAGGTTCTATTTTGGGGTGTTTCAGTTGATGATTGCTCCTTTAGCTACATATCCTAGGAGGTTTAATTAGAGAAAGGCAATTAATTGTCCATTGTAAGTTACAAGCGGGAAATCATGTCAGCCATTTCATGAATAAAATCAGAGTCTTGCTTTTTGATACGCATGATTTCATTGAATACGGCCCACCTCTCTTCAGGAAAGAATTTTTTTCGGTGTTGATAGGGGGAAATTTATGAGCCTCGATCTGCGAAAGCTTTTTTTTTCTCATTCTACCTCTCTCTCTCTCTCTTGCTCTCCGTCTCTCTCTCTCTCTCTCTCTCTCTCATAGATATGAGACGATTGATGTCTCGGCATTAGACGGCCACATGGAGAGGTGCTAGATCATGAGAATAAGGGAAGGTCCATATCGAGAACAGGGCACTAGGGGATCTAGTTCGAGATTAAAAAAGAATCTCGACTCAGCGGGTGTCGTCGGATATGGATTAGCATGCGGATCACACCGAGATCCATCAATAATCCAGCGATGAATTATAATCGTCGTGAAAGCCCGAGAAAATGGGATTCGTCGCGAAGATGAATTTAAAAAAAAAAAGAGTTTGTGGATTCTAACGGGAAGACGAGTTCGTGCTCGGAACTCCCAATAACCGCGGAATCTGCAGGGGGTTTTCCAATTTTTATTTTTATTTTTAATGCACCAATCACCGCTCCCATGATTTATCGAGAGCGCTTCATTCTCCACGGTCGAGGGGATTAGGGGGAGGACGGCGATCATTATGTCATCAGGCTCATTAAGGAATCCCGTTTGCAGCATGCAACCGGCATTATTATCTGGAGGCAGACACTGAAGAAGAGAGAGGGAGAAAAGAACCGAGGCTCTTTGTTGCAGAGGAGGATGATGAACGGCTTGGAGGATTCCGTTCGGCCAATAGCCCGGGCCAGCCTCCAGCGGCGGACTCCAACTTGTGCCATTACAGTCACATCACATACGCGTCTACATCTGGGTTCGCGTCCGCATCCACGTCTACATCCACATTAGTGTCCACATCTACTTTACTCATGCCAGTCACGAACAGCTGTGGATATCATGGGGATCAAAAATCGCGTTGAAGCCTATTTCCGGCAGAGGAGGAGTGAGACGGTCAGAACTCACTTAAACCAGGCGAACTTGGACTGAGTGGCTTCTCAGCGCGAAAGGCTCACGACAAGGTACGAAAACCCAACTCAACCGACGAAGCCAAGAAAGTTTCAAACCACGACCTAAACCACGACCATCACCCTGTCCGTCTGAGATTTCACCAAGCACTTGAACATCTATGTAGGGCAACCCCCTCCCCCCTTCACCATCAGGACGCATCAGTACCGGAGAGTAAGACTCCTGGAACATCCCATACAACATACCATACCATGCACTCGGACAAGATGTCACAAGAGCCTGCATCGAAGGCTTTCCGAGTGTGTATATGCAGCATACCGGCTATTGATTCATGTCCTCCAACAGATGTGCATGTGTCCAATGAGGCATGTTACGTGTCTGGGACAGATTGCATTCTCTCGGTAGACCCGTACTGGTCCAATTTATTACCTTTTTTTTGCCCACGTCGTTCGCATCAACATCC